TTTATTAGCTTCCACCACAGGACAGATCCTCACCAGACTGAACTCAAGTCCCCAAGCCAGCCAGCCACAACACCGTGAATTCCTTAGGGAAGTGCCAGTCTCATCTTCTTGAATTTCCCACACTCCTGTTGGGGGCTAAGAACATGCTTATCTCCCTGAGCATGGCCTTCATAAGTCCATTCCATCACAGGACTAGACCTCATGGTCTCCTGGTTTCTAGTCTGATGCCTTAACCACTACATCAAACTGGCTCTCATTCATCCTCTCATCCACTGATATTAACCAGAGTGATACTCTGAGCTAAACCTTTTGCAACCAGACCTCTGACTGCTGAAAATCTCTGTTTTGTTACAAAGCAGCGTATCTGCTGGGTTGAAAATGTTCTAAAGCTTCCTGAATGCTGGAATTTCTTTCGACCAGGAGAATTCAACTGATGGGCACCATCTAAATAAGATCACATTGTTCTGTGCAAATCATCTCAGAGCAGGATGCTGGCCTGAAGAGATGCAATTAGCATGCTTGTAAAAATGTCATCTGATTTACAGGCCTTGCTAATTGGTACATGGGGCCCTCGCTTTGCTTGCTCAAGCATTTAATGGGAAATAAAATCTGTTTACCTTGATTCGACCACCACTGAGCTCTTCGCTGATTTTTAGTCGAGCATCTACTACTCTTTTCAAGTCCCTCTGTAACCGACGACCAAAATCTCTGAACATTGTAGATCCTCCTGAAAGCACCACATTCTACATGGCAAAGAATTGTTTTTGGCCTTTAGACAATATAACCAATCTAATTTTTTTTCCAAAAAAATCAAATCTATGGATCTTCTCTCTAGGCCAGTGTTTGTCAACCTTGGCAACTTTAAGAGGTGTGGACTGGGAATTCCACTGGCTGGGGAATTCTGGGAGTTGAAGTCTACACCTCTTAAAGTTGCCAAGGTTGACAAACACTGCTCTAGGCTGTCCCTGGAGGAAGTGCAGGACACAAATGTGATATGCCAGGTTATATATGGCCATATGGCAAAACAGTTCCACTGATGGCCATTCTGTGGGCGGATCAAAAAGTCAAACTGGTGGCCATCACTGCACAATCAAAGTGCAATACATTTTTTTACAAGCATTGCACCTATGAACGTTTACATGAGCTTCAATTGCAGAGGTGCCATTTTTGACTCCCCCCTCCTGCTATCCACCTTCGCAATTTAAGACACATGTTTTTATCAAACCCTAATCTATATTCAGCAAGTCCCTTAAGACAATGAAAGCATATCAATGCCAACCATTAGGAGTTGAAATTAACTCCTGTCAATCTCGGCAGATTTGCTCTCAAATACAGCCTTCCTACTGCCATCTGAGCAACAGTTGCCCATTCCCAAAGGCTCTCAAAATTAAAAATACTTTTATCATGATTTTCCAACCATGTGGAAGACACCTCTCTTAATATTCAAGATATAGTTTAAAAATAAGCATCACCTTTACAAAATGAATTGAAGCAGAATTAAAAGAAAGAAGCCGCTAGACTTGAGAAGGGACCAACTGGTTTATGCCTAGGCCAACACAGTATAGGATCTTAAGTGGACATCTTAACAGAGTGAAAACTAATCATGTATTTCAGAACAAAGTTCCATAACTGAGAAGGTCATGGTCATCTTAACTCATCGGATGATCTACCTCAGCCTACAAAGGGGTACAGAGTTATATTCTATTTATTGTATTTAATAGACTTAATGTCCAACCCTTTTCCCTCACGTGGCAGATTACAATAATCAGCGCTAATTAAACTGACACGGGTTTTGAGAAAATGGTTGGTTTCCTCCTTTCGAATTGTTAGAAAGGCTAATGAGAATTAGCCTTTATTCTAATTCATTCATCTTGGCCAGAGCAATAGAAAATGACTTATAACAGCAAACAAATGTGGAATGGTTAATAAGATGCACCTAAAAGGTGGAGAAGGGAATCAGTGAATCTACTCCGGGCACATATAAAACCAGTTGACAATGAATTATGGGAAACTCATGAATTTGTATGAGAGAGGTGGTCTGGATAACTTCTACATTGAACCATATCACCCAAGGTAAAAATGATTTGAATAATGATGTGCTATAAAACTGAAGGTCAGAAGACTAAGTGAAGTTTTTGGATGATCAACCCATTATTCATGGAGAAAAGTTTGCTTAGCAGTTAATAATAACATATGGGTAATAAAGTATGTGTTAAAGAAAGCATATGCACGTTCTCCTTTTTAGTAATGTTTTTAATTACTGTTTTATGTATTTATATTTATTTATGTTTTAAAGTGTTTGTTGTGAATCACCCAGAGTTCCCCCATTGGGGGGAGATGGGCGGCTGAAAAAATTAATAAATAAATAAACTAGATATGCCTATATTGTGTATGTTACAACAGAACAAATTGACCCACACATAGGTTATGACTAGAAAACAGTAGTAAACACCAAATTAAGATGTACTAAAAGGCTTTCGTTTAGAATTCCTTTTGTAAAGGTAACTGGAGACAACTTCTACTGTGAAATGGTATTGCTTCATTCGTGAAATCAAGATGGGGTCTTCTTCAGGAAATTTTCGGTGGAGATATTGTTTCAAGTTTCCCCTTTCCATTCTTGATTATGGTTAAATATCAAGATACCCAGCAGAAGAACAATTTTCTTCTGGGGATTGTTCCAAAGAGGGTGACCCCAGAACATGGTAAAATCTTCAAGGAGATTTACACTCTTCTCCAAATACCATCTATGGTTTTTCAGCAGGTAGTGATCGATGGGAACCAGCCGAGCTGAACTTTCAGGTTTTAATTAAGGGTTACTCCACTTAATAATCTACTGACTCAGGGTTTTTCATTATATCTCTTTTGAACTTTTGAACTTTGCTCTTCAATTTTGGAATTTACACATTTATGTTTTTACAATCTGGAAGGACGGCCTAATTAATTTTTCAAACTCTCTCTTTTTTTTTCTCTTGACTGCTCAAGAGTTTAACCTTTTTTTTAATAATAGTTTTAGAATGACAAATTTGCTTATAAGAGGGCCACGGAGAGTAACAAATTATATCTGATCAATATAGCTAGGATTTTATTTTTTTAAGCAAAGGCAGTACTTCTTAGATTTTATTTTACTCATACTATTTTTCTTTTTTGTGAGAAACCCAACAAGAACCACAGATTGATAAAGAAATAGCATATTCAGTATGATTATACAATCATGTTTTTACCAATCTGGAAACAATTTATTTTTTGTTATGATCCTATTTGCCTTATTTGGATTTATTTTCCTGAAACCAGCTTATTTTCCTGGTGCAATCATCTTTGTTTCATCTGTAATTATCTGGTCAAGTTTTTAAACTTTCCTCTTTTTATGAACTTTATGAGATTTTTTATAACCACAAGAGGGGGCTCCAACATAAGGAATGTCTACCTGGGGGTTTTCCACTTTGAAATGAAGCTTAAATTAAGATAGGCAGAGAGAGGAAACATTTGGATCTTAATACAAAGAACAACAGTATTAAAAAAAAAATTAAGTATTTAATGCGTAGAACTAGGCTGTAGCCTTCTTTTAACAGCTTTCATTATGTGTTTTTTCTCATATGGTATTATCTGGAATTTATACATTATGATATCTACGTATCATTTTTTAAATCTAATGTCTTACTCTTAACTGTATATTTTGTTGCAGTCCTTTTTAATGTAAAGAAATTCTGGGTGCAAAATCCATTTTTCTCTATTAAAAATGAATACATTCATTCAGCGACCGTTCAAAGTTACGATGGTGCTAAAAAATGGACTTACGACCGGTCCCCGAAGTTACAGCCATTGCAGTGCCTCTGTGGTAATGTGATTACAATCTGGGCAGTTAGCAACCCATTCACACTTACAATGGTTGCCAAGTACCCTGCAATCATGTGATCGCCATTTGCAACCTTCTCTACTGGCTTCCCCAAGCAAAGTCAATGGGGAAGCCGTCAGGAGAGGTCGCAAGTCGCTTGGGTAAGTCTCCCACACACACCCCAGCCTTTCTTTGCTCGCACACACTGCACCTTCCTTCCTTCCTTTGCTCACTCGTGTGCAACTGGCCATCCTTCCCTCCTTCACACTCACCTGTGCTCTCCTTTCCCCTTTGCTTGCTCACACACATCGTGCCCCCTTCATGCTGCGCTGTGGCTCTGGGACTTTGCAGGAGGAAGGAGAAAGCCTTACAAATGGCCAGCAGTTTCCAACATGAGCTGCAAAGCGTATGCCAGAAGTGCCCCTGGAGAGTCCCTGAGTGAGCAAAAGAAGGAAGGAGGGTGTGGTGCATCTGAGGGGGCGGAGGGAGCTGGTGCGTGCAAGCGAGCGAACGAGGAAGGAGGATACTGGTGTGTGTGAGCAAGCGGAGGGAAGGAGGATGTGGTGCAGGCATGCAAGTGAGCAAAGGGGAAGAAGGGTGCTAGTGCATGCAAGTGAGCAAAGGAGGGAAGGAGAGCACGGTATGCATGAACAGGTGAAGGAGGGAGCTGGTGCGTGCAAGTGAGCGAAGGAGAGCACAGTTCTGGGGCTGCTTGTCGCCCCGCAAAGCAGGTTGCAGGGTGGCCAAAAGGGCATAGGTGGGGGAGGTAGGCAGGCACGGGAAGTTGGAGGCGGTCCCTTACCTTACTGAGGACTAGGAGGAACCAAGCCCAGAATGGCTTGGATTGGGGTGGGTCCTTGGCTAACAGCTGGTGCAATTCACTTAACAATGGCAATGGGGAGTACCGGGATTGCCATTGCTAAGTGATGCGGCCAGTGACAACTCACTTTATGACCGCATCGCTTAGCAATGGAAATTCCGGTCCATTCCGGTCCCGGTTGTGGTCATAAGTCGAACACTACCTGTAGGAGACAACAGAGTAAGGAGAGCAAAACACAAGAGCAGAAGAGGCCCAATATGATCACAAATGATTTCTCTCTTGCTTTATCACAGATTACAGACCTTCTCGTGGGTGAACTGTATATAAGGAAAGATTGTATCATCAAAGCCATTCAACAAAAACTACAAAGTTTGGAAGTAAAATCAGATTTTCTTAAAGGTGACTTTAATGACAAATAGGATAACTGAATGGCCAAGTTAGAACACCAGACTAAAGAAATGAAAAAGATCTGCAGACAGGACACAAGAAGTCATCTTTAGTTCAGAGAACCTGAAAGAGCTAAATGTATTGGACGCTAAACTGAAAATAGTGAAATAGAATTATGTAAAAAGAACTTTAGAACCTAAAGAACCTAAGAATTGGGGGGGAATCTAGAAAGAGAAATGGAGAACTTGTTCAACACTTATCTTAAGTTGGATAAAGAGAAAACTTTGGACGTTCAAGAAATCTACAGAATAAATTCATGAACAGCATGACGAAGAAAAGTGCCACATGATATGCTTCTTAAAGTTGTGTATCTTGAGACAGAAAAAAGCAATACTAGAATTAAAACAAGTGATACTTCCTTAATATTTGGAAACGTAACAATTGAGATCCTACCAGATGTACCTCCAGATAGAAAGAGGAGATTTCCAAGATTTCTGACAACTGTTCTTCAAGAAAGAACGGTCAGTTTCAGGTGAGGTACTCTATTCCATCTAGAGAACTTCATGGATAGTGGCAAAGGTTTTGTCAGCCCTTCAAGGTAGGCCAGGTCAGGAAAGAGATATCACAAAAAATACTGGAACTCTGTTGTTATAGGATACAATAACAGAATCTTGAAAGCCTGACAAAGATTCTCTCTCTCCCCCTTATACTAAAGAGAATCAAGACGGGGCAATCTTGAGAGTTTTCCTCACCCTCTCCTCTCTACCTGGGCTAAGTTGATATTTACATAATGGTCATTGATTGCCTTCTTCAAGGCCATCTCTGTCCTCCTCTGCAGCAGCTTTTGTACATGCCACTGATGACGCCAACAGAATGCTTGAGTCATCAGCTGTGACGGAAGAAGGGAATGAAGACCCAGACAGACAGATGGCAGACAGAACTGCTATTTCTTCATAAACTGACTTGACAACGAACATCATGCATCAAATTAAAATCTTCTCAACTGTTGTTAATGGGTTGAACAGCCCATTTAAAAGGGGGAAAAAATGAAGCTAAAAAAGGAAAATGCAGCTATTACATGTCTTCAAAAGAGACATACGAAAAAAGATAATGTTAACCCGTTGGAATTTAAGTGGTCAAGCAAAGGGTGAATGCAATTTGATTTAAGGAAATGTAAAATGATCCACAATGGAGCCAACTATCCTAACTTAACATAAAAAATATCAGTGTGTTCCCTTGTAATCCTAGGACTGTCATAGCTTTTGACTGGCGGTGTCCATCCAGGAGCAGCTTAATTGAAATATGGACTTCCCTTCTTGTGTCAAAATGCCAACAAATGTTTAATCACAATGAGATAACTTAGGGGTGCAAGGACAGCTAATAAATAAACAAGCCGAGAAAGTATAAATATGCTCCAAAGTTAAGGAATATTAGCTCTCCTAAAATCTTGAATTCACAACTGTTTACCAATCAGCCGGAACAGCACAGAGATAGCAGGCAGGGAAATTTAAATAAATCTTTTCCTGTTAAACTTCATTGCCATTTTAAATATTTTTATCTCTAAGACAAGTATTATTTTTTTTAAAAACTGTATCTATATTACATTTATTGGATGTTTATTTTTTTTAACAGGCGTGTAAATGGATTTAATGATTAAAGTCTAATTTGTTTAATAGCTGAAATTTCATGAGATCAATAAATCTCATAAAGTTCTCAGTGTTCCAGGCCGAGAACCTTATGAGGCTGCCAAAACTCTGTGGGGATTGGCAATCTCCAGTGACTGGGGCCATTTAAATACTTTCATGATATTTCATTTTTGCCCACACCAAGGATCCCCTGTAGTACTTTTGTGGGCCTTTGGACCACACACTGGGAACCATCAAGGTAAAATTAGCTGTGTGATTTTTGTCCACTTCTCCAGGGACTGATGAGCGATGAGGCATGAAAAAAGCAGAATAATTTGCTGTTTTTGCAATCACCAGAGACCTAATGATGCTCAGAAATGTTCAGTGATAGAATAACACTGAAAATAAAAGCAGCTCTACCAACAAGAATGTTTTCAAGATCACGATCTATTTCTATCCACCCCTTTATCTACAAGCTACTAATCAAACTACAGGTAGTCCTTGACTTACAATCACTTGTTTAACGACTGTTCAAAGTTATGACGATACTGAAAAAGTGATTTCTGACCGGTCCTCACACTTACGACAGTTGCAGCGTCCCCGCAATCACGTGATCACAATTCAGGCACTTGGCAACCACTATTTATTTATAACAGTTGCAGCATCCCGGGATCACGTGATCACCATTTACGACCTTCCTAGGGGGCTTCCGACAAGCAAAGCCAATGGGGAACCGTGTGGTTCACTTAACGACCACATGATTTGCTTAACGGCCATGGCAAAAAAAGGTCGTAAAATGACCTTTTAATTAAACTTAATGATCGCATCACTAAGCAACGGAAGTTCCAGTCCCAATTGTGGTCATAAGTCGAGGACTACCTGTAGAGGGAAGTCACAAATCGCATGACCCTTCAGCTTTCACCTGAATGTCATTTAGTAATTCTGGCTCTCTCTGTACCTTATACAAAGGACGCCGAACATCAATGGGACAGTTCTGTATAACTTCATCAACAACATCTGAAATAGAGTCCATAAAATCTGGATTGGCAAACTAAAAATAAACAGGAGAGGTAGATAATCAGTTAATGCAGATACTTAGGTCCTTGCTTGGGAGGTGGCAAGATCTGTGTGCAGATGAGCAAGAGAAGGAGGTCACACACAAACAACAAGAACGATAACAAGAGACTGCCAAAAGCCAGTAGGGGGGAGAAAAACCTTCTCCAGACTCTGCACAGTGGGGCAGGGAAGGATGGAGGATGGCTGACTTCTCCTCCTGATGAGCTAGTAAATTGTTTAACAAGTTCATCCTTTTTTCTGGTCTGATTTATAAAGACCTACATCATCAGATCTTCAGAGATCTTCAGAGGTCCTTGAAGACAAAGCCAGCTGAGTTTGCCAACCACAGCTCTTACCTCTTAAGTTTCTCATGCAAAAGGTGACCATACATCCTGGTTTTCTTGGATCATCTCAGTTTATGCTTGTTGTCCTGGATATTTCATTTCTTAATGCAAGTATAATTGTCAATAGTAGTAGTTTACTGGCGAAGCAAGGCCAGCGTTACTAGTCTGCTTACTCTTTATTTTACTGTTTACTCAAGCAGTAAACAATATCCTAATCAAGGAACTACCAACTCAGACAGACAATCAAGCAGTAAACAACAGCCTTATCAAGGAACTACCAAGGAGAAATCAACTCCCCCACCAACACTGATAGGGCAAGCTACCGTAGATAAACAGAGAGCAAACCCCATTCCCTTCTAGTACTGAAGATGTTACCTAGCCGGGTAATGAAACGTCTGCAAGAAAACAACCAAGCTCAGAGAACCCCAAGGATTCGACTCATCCTGCTATAATTTGGCCACAAGATGGTGCCTTACCCCCATAAGTGCCATTTCCTTCCTTCCTTACAACTACCACCCTTGGAACTACTACTATTATTACTATTACTTCTGCAATAGCAATCTTGTCTCTTACCTCTGGATGAAAGAAGATTTCCGGCCCGAGGAATCTTTCATAGCCGACATCTATCATAAACGGGTTTCTATTGATTGCGTTGATTCCCGTGTATTGCTTAATCCATTTGTGGGGATCAACATCATACTTTGCAAATTCTTTTACTATGTCAGGACAAATATAACAGTACTTTTCCTGTAAATAATGCAATAAAGAAGAAAAACATCTGTTTTATTGGATTAAAGAAGATAAGATTAGCAGGGTAACTTCTCTGGAAGTGATTCTGCATTTATAGCTGCCACAGGGACCCATTCGACGGTTCTACAATGTTCACTGCCTATTCCTATATTAAAAAAAAAAACCTTAAGCATCCAAACATTTAAAGCAGTGTTTCTCAACCTTGGCAACTTTAAGACGTGTGGACTGTCAGGGTATTACCCTGGAGTAAAGAATTTCTCAATGAGAATATGGACTTGACAGGGCACAGCTTGACTGTGTTTGCAATCCCTGCAACCTGCCCAGAGCACACACCTGTAGGGTGTGGCAGCATGACACACCACAAACCACTGTATATAGCAAAGTGCACCATGGGTTATATTGTGGCTGGTGATACGAGTTGTGTCTGGTGTTGAAGTTCTGGGAAGTCCTTAGGGATTTGCAGGTTGGTGGTGTACATTCTGTATATATTGTACAGTAAACATCTGGTTTTGTAGAGTAAACATGGCTGGCTGGGGAATTCTGGGAATTGAAGTCCACATATCTTAGAACTGCCAAGGTTGAGAATCACTGATCTAAAAAGAAAAAAAAAAAGTTTATTATCAGGGCCTGAAGGCCATGAGCAAGCAAAAAGATACCAATCAGAGAACTGGTTAGCAAAGTTGACTTAATAAGGCTGGACAGCATTTTGGATTTCAAGGCAGCCCTTAAAACTGCCATTGCTCCTTTTCCTAAGATCACATGGCCATTGTGTCATGCAATCCAAGGGAAAGGTACATTTGGTTCAGAAGCTGTAGACCATTATTACTGTAGAGGAGGAAGATGACCTTGATGGAGATAACTCAGGATCTGATGTCTAGGCAAAAAGTGGGAGGGGTGAAGCATTTTTTAAGCCCAGAACATCCAGATAACATTTGGAAGTGCCTCAGGCAGACACCTCCCTCATTCCCTGAACATAAGGAGGAGTTACAGCCCAATCAGATTTGCAAGATTCTGTTATTATTGCCAAACTCAGTGAAAGTAGTTTTAGCTCTCCTGTAGAGTTGATTTCCTGGTTGGGTCTACTTAGCGGGGCTGACGGTTACATTCATATCTCAATGTGCTGGGAGTTGAAATCCATCCATCTTAAAGTTGCTGAGGTTGAGAATCACTGCTCTAAAGCACGTCCTTACCTTCAAATGCGGCCTTCACAAAAGATCCCAGTTCCAAAACAGGCTATTCCAAGGATTTTGGAAGTGTTGCAAGTAACCATTACTTCCAGGACTTCCTGGAACAATCTGTTCAGGTGCTGGAACAGTCCATTCTGGGATTGAGATAGTCTGTGACAGAACGTTTTACACCTCCCTTGTACCAACATCTTGAGATGAATGGAGAGCACAGTTGACAATCTGTTCAGTATTTCTGGAGAATTTACTAAGATAGAAAGTATTTACCTTTACAGCCTTTGCTGTCTCCAGGGACTGCTCAGGAGGAATTCCCATCTCTCTCTCCCTTAGGAGTTGCTGAATAAAATACGTGATATCTCTACCCGCAATGGGGATGTGCTTGATACAGCTACCAATTACGTAGCCTTCTGCCTTCCAAGGGGGGAAAAAACGTTATTTAGCTTTTGCAGTCCAACGGCAGCCAATTCAGAATTTGAGGCTGAGGGCATTCTCTTCTTCAGTTAGTTATTACTTAACGAAGTTTCAGATTTTAGCTTTTTTAAGGGTCCCCTCTCCCCTCAAAAATGAGCTAGCAATGGAAACAAGATAACTGAACATATGACATAATCAACCTAGGCTGGATCTAAAAAACTATCTTTCGTGTGACCAATGTGTTACGGCAGGAGTGACTACAGAGTGCAACATACATTAAAAAAAAGGCGGACCTTCAATGGCACCATTGCACCCATATCTTGACTTGTTTTACCCTACTCTGTGGACATCCCTGGGTTTTGAAGACCACATTGGGATTTTTGCCCTCTTCTTTCAAACAACAGAGCCAAATGCGTATTGTAGCATAAAACTCTGCAATCCAAAAAGCAAATGAAAAATATCACAGTCAGAATAATCTCTGGAGCTATTTTGGTGGAGTATTAGCCTGCAGAAACCATTGGCTTCAACTTTGCTTTTGGATCCATTCCAAAAAATGGATGATTCCGTGCAAAATCCTCTCTCCCTTGGGCTAAGAACTTGGAAGCACTGCTCCTTGCATTCTCCACTTCCAGCCTGGTCCACCATCCACCACATTGGGCCTGATGGTGGTGGGAACCCAAGACCAGGCCTTTGCCACCCAGAACATGGAACTGCTTTCCCAGGAAAAATTAGTCAGTTCATTCAAGAGCTTTAGAGCCACAGAGGCCTTTTTAAATATCTCTCAACATTTGAGGTATTCTGTAGGTTGTTTTTTTTTTCCTACTTGTATGAATAGAATTAATGTGTTGATCCCCACTTCAATGGCCTTATTTTTCTGTTTCATGCTCTCAAATGTTATTGCATTTTCTAAAAATTAATTTAAGTGGAGGCTGATTCTGGAGAGCAGAAAGGTATATACGACACTATGAATCTTTTAAAAAAATTTAAAAAAAAGAATGAAAGCAGTTGAAAAACCAAATGGCATTTCAGAAGCGGCTTGCAACTAAAAACGGAAGTCACCTATTAAAGAAACATTGCTTTAAATGCTGCATAGATGCATGATTCTGACATAAGTTTTAGACATCTGACTAATCCTGAAAAAGTTTTTAAAGAGCAAGCAATACCTTCTAGATTTGGCAAACTGAACAGAAGCACCTCTTTTCAAAAAGTTAAAGCAGACGCATCATTTGCAAAGCTCACATAACTGCTTGGGAAGGGATTCTTAGTAATTTTTTATGCACGTGCAAAACAGATCCTTGAATGACTCGATTTTACATATGCACTCCTGTGTGTTACAAAGCACTCCTTCGAACAGCAGTAATGATTTCACGTTCGTTAGGATAATGCAGCGGAAGATATTTGTTCTGAATATCAACAGCGGAAGCATGTTGAGTGCAGGGGTGTCAAAAAAGTCAAGATGGCACCACAACCACACAACCTTTTAGCGCTCCTGCAGACACCCCTGGTTGAGTGTGTCCAGGTCATAAATTCTAGGGCTTCAGATCTGATGCAGAAATTCCTGGAAGCAGATATATCTGCTTTAAAGAGCCCCAGACAAGTGCTGTGATCACATTCCCATAGGTTCCCAAACACCTCTTCCCAAAGCATTACAGACTTAACACATTTCTTCACCTCACCTCCTTGGATCCAAAACTGTGATGGAATGGGTTGGTGAAGGCCACGCTCAGGGAGATAAGCATTTGCTCAGCCCCCAGAAAGAGCATGGGAAGGTGAAGAGGATGAGACTGGCACCACCCTAAGGAATTTGCAGTGTTTTCTGGCTGGCTTGGGAATTTTGGATTCAGTCTGGCAAGATTCTGTCTTGAAGGTGGAAGCTAATAAAGGCTATAGAACTAAATCTGTACTGTCTCGTGGGGTTCCTTGGGCTGAACCTGACAAAAACATACTGTGAGAAGGCAGGGAGAAGTGAGGGCCTCAAACGAACCATGTTTGCTAAGGGAGAGCGCTGTGCACCATGGGGCAGCCTGGGGAGGGTGGCAGGAGGGAGGATGGACAGAAGGCACACTCGCACCAGAGTGGAGAG